CGGGCCTACACTCGCCGCCGGCCCGCCCCTGCTCCTGGCCGGCCTCAACTCGCCGCCGCCGCCGGAGTAGACCCTGACACGGGAGAGGTAGCAGATCCGCCCCCTCCTTCCCTTCCTCCGCCTTCCTCTTCTCTTCCTTCCCCTACCCCTGTCCTTCCTGCCTCGGATCGGGATCTTGAACAGGGAACAGCCCTTGTTGTTGTACAGAGAAGATAGAGCAAAATATGCTTAATTGGAATATGATACTTTGATTTTATTTACTGTCTATCTTCTGTACAGAGAGAGCCTACTATGGTTAAGACAAAAATTTATGCATATGATACTTTGTTTGTATTGTCATAGATGGATGAATTGGCAAGAAAACGAAGGCAACTAATTGTGAGAGGAGCCGGTCTAGTGGCTGGATTGTATGCTTACATGATGGTCATGTTTAGAAGATCTAGGCAACAAACACCGAGGATAACCGTGGGCAGCATGGCCGATCGTGCCATATCTAGAGAGTCAAATTTGAGATACATTTATCACTCTAGTGACATAAATTGTTCAAATCAACTCAGAATGAGAAAAGCTCCGTTTTTCCGTTTGTGTGCTATATTTAGAGAGAGAAATTTGTTGTTGGATAGCATTCATACTTCTATTGAGGAACAAGTTGCCATGTTTCTTCTAATAGTTGGCCATAACCAAAGGTATAGGACACTACAACCTATCTTTAGAAGATCTATCGAAGTCATTAGTAGGTATTTTAAGGCAGTGCTTTATGCTGTTGGGGAGTTGAGAGATGAGATGATTCAGCCTCCCTCCAACCATTGCCATCGTAAAATACAAGAAAGCACCCGCTTCAATCCATATTTCAAGGTAATTTTTGAACCTCGTCACATATAATAATTCAACATTCCATAGATAAGTCAAGTGCATAGAACTCATAGTTCAACATTCTATAGAGCACTGCTAGAACTTAACAGTTATACAACCCATAGTTACTGTCTTGGTTGTCAAAAGAGCTAATTCATACAACCCATAGTTACTGTTTTGGTTGCATATCTGGTGTAATGGAGGCTCGCACATGTTTACCATCAATAGCTCCAATATAATCCTATTTGGTGAAAACAAAAACCCAAAAATTAGGATCTAAACAAATTCATGCCTACAATGACAAAATGTAGTTGTCACATGGTCTCATACCTTAAAGTATGGATCCCACCGGTAGTTTCCTTCTATTTTGGTTTGGGTCTCCAATGAAGGCTTCCTAATAAGGTCATCTCTAAGCTCGCCAATAGCATGGAGTACCCTTTGGAAGTAACGGCTCACAACTTCACCGGATCTACCAAAACTGGCGCCAATTACCCTATTTCCAATGTTGTACCCAACGGTGTGCAAGAACATTGCTACTTGTTGCTCAATAGTCAAATGTATTGTGTCCTTTAGCAAGTTGCGATCCCTAAAGAGTTAACAAAACCTAAAGAAAGGTACTCTCCGAAGCCTAAGCATGTTCACGCAAGTTGTGTCATTCTTCCATATTTTGTTGTCAAAATACTCTCTTCTCAACGGTGTCCCCGGGCGATGCGAGCAAGGGTTTGAGGCGGCGGTGCGGCTGGATCTCAAGGCCGGCGGCAGCTGGGGGCCTCAGGAGGCGCGCACGCGGCTGGATCTCAAGCCTGGCGGCGGCGCAGCTGGTTCTCAAGACCGGCGACTGGGGGCTTGAGGAGGCGCGGGCGCCCGGTGACTGATGCGTGCGCACGGCTGCCTGCATGGGTCTGAACGGCTCGCCCGCGTGCGCACGGCTGCGTGTGCTAGATGTGTGCTAGTGTTCCGTGCGTGCAGGGGCTGGTGATGCGTGGTCTCTGCTCATGTGTAGTTCGCTGATTGATTTAATTTTCTGGCACAGGAAAGTTGAAGGCCACCGTCAGTACATCTAGCAGCAGCAGCACAACTACAATCTGGTTATTTCTCCCCTAAATCTTATTCTGTTCTTTAGTAAAATGTTTGGCAGTGGAAAAAGAATGTTGGTTTTGGTTCTAAGTAGTTGGCCATTTGTACACATACGGTGTGCTATTGAATTCTTGTTCACACGTAGATGGACAGCGAGACAAAAGATAACATATTTTAGCTGTAAATCATATACTGCATATTTTAGCTCTAAACCCTGTACTGCATATTATAGCTGAATCCTATACTGCATTGTAGATGGACAGAAAGGCAAAGATGTTAATTTATGCGGCTGCGGCACAATGGTTTATCAACATGATAACATTGGTTGTTCAATCCAGAAAAAGAAAAAGGAGAGAAGCAATTACGTATGCCCCAATTGATGAGAGAGATAGGATGAGAAGAGAGTATTTTGACAACAAAATATGGAAGAATGACACAACTTGCGTGAACATGCTTAGGCTTCGGAGAGTACCTTTCTTTAGGTTTTGTTAACTCTTTAGGGATCGCAACTTGCTAAAGGACACAATACATTTGACTATTGAGCAACAAGTAGCAATGTTCTTGCACACCGTTGGGTACAACATTGGAAATAGGGTAATTGGCGCCAGTTTTGGTAGATCCGGTGAAGTTGTGAGCCGTTACTTCCAAAGGGTACTCCATGCTATTGGCGAGCTTAGAGATGACCTTATTAGGAAGCCTTCATTGGAGACCCAAACCAAAATAGAAGGAAACTACCGGTGGGATCCATACTTTAAGGTATGAGACCATGTGACAACTACATTTTGTCATTGTAGGCATGAATTTGTTTAGATCCTAATTTTTGGGTTTTTGTTTTCACCAAATAGGATTATATTGGAGCTATTGATGGTAAACATGTGCGAGCCTCCATTACACCAGATATGCAACCAAAACAGTAACTATGGGTTGTATGAATTAGCTCTTTTGACAACCAAGACAGTAACTATGGGTTGTATAACTGTTAAGTTCTAGTAGTGCTCTATAGAATGTTGAACTATGAGTTCTATGCACTTGACTTATCTATGGAATGTTGAATTATTATATGTGACGAAGTTCAAAAATTCTACTATTGTTTTGTTTTGGTTTGCTGTGAAAAAGTTAAGATTTTCGAAATTATGACTGCACATACTGTATTTTCCTTTCCATTGAAAAAGTGCAAATTATGAGGGTAATCTCACCACCTCAAATAAAAACGGTTACCACAACCCTTATCCTTCATTTGTCCCTCGAACCAAACACTTCAATGGCTATCCTCAGCCACTTTTCATCCTTTAAGTCAAACAAAACATGGGATAACCCCACCTTTCCGACCAAACAAAAAAAAGGGCTATCCCTAGCCACCTGGTTGGGGATACCCACAACCACCCTAGCATGTCTCTCAAACCAAACACATCCTTAGTTTACAATGGATTTTTGTTTTGTTTTGTTTGCAGGTTCATTGCGCCAGTGGCAAGCAGTTGATAGTCCATCCTCAGATTTTTGTCTCCCTTGCACGCAATATGGACGAGTAATGATCGCTTCAGAACATGCATCCTTCCATTCATAGGCGACGTTAAGCTTGTGTTGTAAACTAAGTTCACCATGTTTCAACTTGACCAGAGAAAATCCTGTTGAGCTGCTACAACGTTATCGCCGTGATCGCCATGTGTTGCTCAATTACATCCTTTCTGGTAACTTGATCAAGAAAGTTGTAATGCCGCCTGGTGCTATCTCTCTGGATGACGTGGATATTGATCAAGTCAGTGTTGATTATGTCCTCAATTGCGCTAAGAAAGGTGAAGTAGTTGTAGCCTCATTCAAGTATCTCACTTTGTCTCCTTATAGTTGTACTGATGATCCTTTGATGTTGTAGGGGATCCACTTGACCTTGGAGATGCCATCCGGCTTTATCATGACAGCCTTGATTACCCATATGTCGTGAGTTTATACTTAAGGTTTCTTTATGTATTGTATTTTTTTTCTTCTAAAAATTACCATTTGACAAAGGAGAAACAATATGATTTAGGAATTTCAAACATTCATGATACTGCCGCCTGTCTTACTTTACTAATCATTCTGCTGAATGCCCATGGATACCAAACGGCTCCTCATATGTGCATTTTTATATAATCTTCCCAATTTCAGTGTTGAAATTTTCACATTGGGCTACATGCTTGGTTCATTTGTTTTGCAGACCATGATCAGAGTCATTAAAATTCATTGCCCATTGAGTTTTCATATGCCTGAACTTTGTTTTTTCAGGATAACACTGGAGATGTCGAAGGGTTCTATTTACTTACAAGACCTGAATATTCTGGATCAGCACCAACAAGAGAACCACCCCCTGTCCCTGCCGCTGCACCATTACCAGTTGTGGTACCACCACCAGTTGTTGAACAACCACAAATTGCTGTGCCATCATCAGTTGCAAACTTACCAAAATCATTATCATTGGACTCTCCCACCGAGGAATTAACCATAGATGACATTGAAGACTTTGAGGATGATGAAGGTGAATTCGATAGTCGAAGGGCTTCTAGGAGGCATCAAACTGATGCCAACGATATATCCTTGCGCTTACCATTATTTGAAACAGGTAATAGTTATTAATTGTCAACTATAAGTATTGCATGCCTCATAATAGATTAAACTAGACTAGCCATGCCTTATGTTCTGATACAATAATTATCATGCTATTGCTACTACAGACAATTTCGATGATCTTCTATCTGTCCCTTTTGCCTTTACATGCATTTTGTTGGTTGTCTCCTCATAACTTGCCAGTGATGCACTATTGCTTTCTTTAGTTTATTGAATCACGTGAAGGTGTTCACTTTCTTTATTGGAACAATAACTGGGTTGTCATTATTTGCTTCAGTTACTTCTTAAACATGTTAGTTTGTAATATTATACTATTTGGATAAAAAAAGTTAAAGGCGTTTGCTTTAGTTAGTGATATAACTAGGCCATCGTTGATCTCTTTGTTTGACTCTGAATTCTGAACTATCGGCTAAAGAAAATTATTGAAAAACAACATCTGTCTTACTCTTCCAGGTATCACAGATGATGATCTTCGTGAAACAGCATATGAAATCCTTGTTGCTGCTGCTGGCGCTTCAGGGTAGGCCTGTGCAGTTCACTGTGTCGAGCATAGTGTTTTAATTAGAAGATAGCAGTTTCCAAGATTATCATAGTACTTAACCTATTTCTACTGCTTATAGGGGCCTTATAGTTCCAAAGAAAGAAAAGAAGAAAGAGAAGAGACACAGATTAATGAGGAAACTTGGCCGTAGTAAGAGTGAAAGTGCTGAATCGCAAACTCACCGGCAACCAGGTTTAGTTGGCCTGCTTGAAATCTTGAGAGCCCAACTTGAGGTGACTTGTCTTACCTCTGTTCCTGGTTAATAAATTGAAAGACAAAATTGCGCCTTTGTGTTTTCTGTTGTTCTGTACTATATATTTATTTCCCTCACTTGAAGTTGTATTTGTACATTTCAACATTAGTAGCTTGCAAATCTCTTGTGCTGTTTGAAACTGCATATAGTACAGCTCGTTGAGTTTAAGGTTACTGTTCCTTTTTTATATTTTTGTGAACAACCAAATCTAATATTTTTGTGAACAACCAAATCTAATATTTTTGTGAACAACCAAATTATATTTGTACATTTCAACATTAGTAGCTTGCAAATCTCTTGTGCTGTTTGAAACTGCATATATAGTACAACTCGTTGAGTTTAAGGTTACTGTTCCTTTTTATATTTTTGTGAACAACCAAATTTAATAAAGATACTCAGAATGCTAATCTTACATCTGCTTACCTCCTTCACCCCTCTGCTTTTGAATAGATAACGGAGTCCATGGATATTAGGACTAGACAGGGACTACTTAATGCTATGGTGGGTAAAGTCGGAAAACGGATGGACAATCTCTTGATACCACTGGAACTACTGTGCTGTATATCTAGAGCTGAATTTTCTGACATGAAGGCATATCTTCGTTGGCAGAAAAGACAGGTTAGCCATCCATTTGTGCTTTAAGGATTTTGAACCATACCTGCATGACTTAACAATATAAGGTCTGTTTGTGTCTTTGCTTAGCTGAACATGCTGGAGGAGGGCCTAATAAACCATCCTGTTGTTGGATTTGGAGAGTTAGGTCGAAAAGTCAATGAGCTAAGAAATCTTTTCAGAAAGATTGAAGAATCTGAGGTTTTATGCTTTACCCCAGTTAGTTATTATGGTTGATTTATTTATTCAAATAAGCACTATATGAACTATAAACTAAATGGAGGTTACGATGTTGTATTGTTTGCTAGTCGCTATCCCCATCTGCTGCGGAGGTTCAACGTACAGAATGCCTACGTTCACTGAGAGAAGTTGCTACATCTTTCTCTGAAAGGCCTGCTCGTGGCGATCTTACCGGTGAGGTTTGTCATTGGGCTGATGGTTACCATCTGAATGCCGCCTTGTATGAAAAAATGCTTGGCAGTGTTTTTGACACCTTAGATGAGGGAAAACTCACAGAGGCCAGTACTTCAAATCCCTGTTTGCCATTTTCCGCTGTCCACCCCATTGGTTGCAATATTTGTCTCATACTTTTACTTTTATCAACCAGGAGGTCGAAGAAATCCTTGAGCTCCTAAAGTCCACTTGGCGTATACTAGGAATCACAGAGACAATTCATGATACGTGCTATGCATGGGTATTATTCCGACAGGTAAAGCACTAACCGAGAAGAGGCTATCCTTGGTATTTTTTTGACATGTATCCTTCTTGGAGTATTTCGTGCTTATGCTGCGGCTAGCCTTAGATATCTCTACGGCAGCAATCAGATGTGTTTCTGGATTCTGGCATCTTGTTTTATTTTTAAGAATTCTGAGTGAGCCAAAGCAAGGGAGGATCTTCTCATCCTTATCCAGTTTTTAGTGACAGCGCTTCTAGCCTTTTCTCTTCATAATGTCAGTCTGTCAGAGAGTTTTTTGGAAAAAAAAAACCTTAGTGCAAACTCCACTTTTGTCTTCACCATTTTATGGAAATGATGCCTTTTTCCTTAGAGACAGTTATCTGAAAAAAAAACCTTAGTGCAAACTCCCCTTTTGCCTGTACCATTTGTGGAAATGATGCCTTTTCATAATAACACAGTTCAAGTTAAGCCTGTCATAATGTAGGATTATTGTTAAAGTGGTGAATCATATCTAAAACCAGTAACCACTGGGTCTTTAGTTTTTCTTGAGATCAAAAGATGCTCTTGCATAAACCACACTGGACTAAATATGTAGTCCTGTTCAGTAGCATGCTACTAATTTATTAGCTCATGAACCAAGTTACCATCACCATAGTATGATAATTAATGTGTTCTGCAACACAGTTTGTTTTTACAGGTGAGCAAGGACTCCTGAAAGTTGTGATTGAGCATTTGAGGAAGATACCCTTGAAGGAACAGCGTGGTCCACAAGAACGCTTACACTTGATAAGTCTACGTAGTTCTGTTGATGCCGATGATAGCTGCCAGGACTTTACGTTTTTCCAGTCTTTCCTGTCTCCAGTTCAGAAATGGGTGGACAAGAAATTGAATGATTATCATCTGCACTTCTCAGAGGTTTGTTTTTCTCAATCCTGGTTTGCTGATGTGCACCTAACATGCATGGCAAGTGAACCTCTTTGAAACTTATCCTTTCATTTCAACAAGGAATAGATCTGGGTTTGTTTGCTTTATACAGTAAATATTTACCATGTCAGTGAAGATGAGTAATACAATCATGTACCACTTCGTGCAGGCTATGTCTGATTTGTTATTCACCACCGAATGTTGCAACACATATGCGCATAAGGCAAACCATCATTATTGCTGGTTACTTATCATTTTTTGTTACTGAATGACTGCATGTGCCTTGCTATGATAAAAATTGCAAATTGTATATTCAAGTATCCCATGGAATAGTTCGCAGGCATAGTTTCTCTTGTCAAGCTTGTCATGTTCATCTCTTGTTCTTGTTAGGCTCACGTGTGTTTCATATTTGATCTAACCTGCACATAGATTTGAGCGCATAATTTTCTTCTAGTCCACCATTTTTTTCATTTGCGTTACACACATGCGCGGGTGGTTTTACAGTCCTTCAACCCAGGGCTTGACGGCGGTATGATGCTGTGTTCTGTGTCTCAGATGAATCTTCTTTGATCCGCCACAGTACTCGCGTGTGGGCATCCACTACAAGCCCTACAACTATTGTAGAGGTATAGGAGCCTCATGTTACATGAGTGCACACTTTTGCACCGAACACACATATGTATTTACTTTGATTAAATATCTGGCACACCATGTCGATCCTAGAGGTTGAACCCTGGTGGGTGGGAACTGTTTGAGAGAATTGTATTGTTGTTACTCTTTATAATATTCCTTTTGTCCTAGAATTCCTACTATCTCCTCTCATGTACATGTATGTATTAGACCTAGAGTCCATGGAATAGATTTAGTCATTATTCATATCATGGTATGAAGAGCTGGCTTCTAAGGTTCAATTTTTTCGTTTCACTTGTCTCCTTCAAGATCGATCTGGTTGATTCTCTCTGCTCTGTGTTCTTCTGCATGCCATGAGTGTGCGCAGCCATCATGCCATCTGTACAATGTCGGTTTCTTTTCTGATGGACGCTGCTTTTCACCACGCCATATCTGCCCTCTGTTTCTGCTGAGCTAACATGCTCCTCTCCCGAGCTCTGCCGCCGCAACCTTCTTCCTCAGGTTGCTGAGCAGGCATTCTGCTCTATTTTCAGAGTGCTCTGTCTGTATGTAGATGCTCTTTAAAAAAATGCCATCTTCTAGTTCTTCATTGGGCAATGTCTCTGTTCCCCTCCGCCTGGTGATCTTTGATAGCATCAATTACCATGGCATGGCCATTCACGCGCACCTTCATATCCAATCAGTGACTGAGATTTTCTTACTGGTAAGGTGCAGTGCCTGCCTTCCTTTCCCTGTCACGCATGTACTCGCATGGTACTGCTGAAGAGAATGATGCTCAGAAAAAGAAGGCTTTTAAGGATGCTCACAAGCATGCACTTGGTCATCATAATGAGGTTATGGAGTCGTGCAATACCCAGTTTGCTGCCTACAAGCCATTGCTTGCTAAGTCCAACTAACCTTCTCCTGGTGAGGCATCATCTTTTCCTGATGCACCATCTTCTCTTCAGTATGCCCTTCACGCTCGTCCCGGTACGCCTATTGACCTCCTTGGTTTTTGCAGGCGTGGGCTCTTGCCGCGCTGACTTTGTTTCTGTGATGTTCTTCATCAGGAATGGCAGCATGCAATGGTAGAGGAGTTTGCTGCCCTTGAACTCACTATTCATAACAGGACCGAACACCCTCACTCCCACCGTGCATGTTGCTATTTCTGTTCTGTTCAGACTACCATTTGGGATCTGCTATCTCTAAGCTAGTGTAGATTCTAGTGGACCTGTTCATCTCTTATTTTTGTTTGTACTGACGATCTTACCTTTTCCCCACATTAAATTTGTCTTTACATCTGCAGGGTCCCAGTATGATGGTTGATATCGTAACAGTAGCAATGCTTACTAGGCGAATCCTTGGTGAAGAAAATGACAAGGTGCTGAAGCTTTACATTCAATCCTTCATTTCTCATCCAACATACCTTTTGTAATCTAAAAGTCGGACCGTCTGCCTGTGGCTAGTGTACGTATGAGCAGTGGCGGACCGTGAGTGAAATCCAAGGAGGGGCCAAAACAGGTAGACAGATTAGAGAGGCCGGGAGATTTTTTTTTTTGGGGGGGGGACCCTCCTTGGTCCCGCCGATGCTCCGCCAGTGCATATGAGCACCACCGCTTCCAGGCATTTCTTGAGCAGAAGTCACTTGAGTACAAACAAATCTAGTAGTGTTCCTCACAAAATGGTCTCTAACCACCACACTTCTCGTCTTCTAACTTGTGGTAGTATACAGTAGCAACCTTTTGTTCTCAATAGGCGCTGCAGAATGTGGAAAACCAGAGCTTTAGCGTTTGCACATACATACAAATCTGATTTGGCACCGGTTTTGCTTTTCTGCATCAGGCAATGGAGTCACCTGATCGAGACCAGATTGACCGTTACATCACTTCTTCTGTCAAAAGTGCTTTCATGAAGGTGACCTTATTTGCAGCTGTAATTATTCTTTTGTAGTGTAGCTCTAATATTGCTGATTTTCATTCTTTCCTGATGTATTTTTCTCATTTTACCATGAGATGGATATAATAAGATCACTTATTCACCCATGCCTGCTTATGCAGACCTTGAATGTTGGTCCATTATAGTATACATGTATCTTGGATTTGTCGTGTTGTATTTGATCACCTTCACTTCTAGAAATCTATGTTATTGCCACCGTTGGCGAAATTCTTTGCAGTTAGAGGTGTTTGATCACTTTGTATATTTGAATGTGGCATGACCTCTGTTATATTTAGTAGGACTGTATTTTGGTTCTTTGCCCCAAATTTTGTGTATGCTTTTTGGCCTTTTGGTCTAGAGGGTTTGTTCTGGTCTTTTCCTGGTCACTGTATTCCTCAAAAGTCAAAAGTCAGTATGACATGAGGCCTTCTATGCAATATTCATGTTCTACGTGCGTATAAGAGTTTAAGCACGTGGTTTCATCTGCATATCAAAGGATATAAATGCTAGACTCTATATCTTCATATTTTTACTGTTAATTGTAACTTTTTTTCTGGTCAGGTCATTAGTTTTTTAGTGTACTGGAGTGGAAACCCATATAGTGCAATCTGTAGTTGTATAGGTCATGTACTTTTCTAGTTCCATCTATATGTCAACACTATGGATTATTTTTTGTTTTGTTTCAGATTGCACATTTCGTAGAGATTAAAGCAGACACATCACATGAGCATGTTTTAGCATCTCTAGCTGAGGAGACGAAGAAGCTTTTGAAGATAGAGACAAACATTTTTTCCCCAGTTTTGTCAAGATGGCATCCACAGGCAGCAGTTCTTTCCGCTTCCCTTCTCCATAAACTGTATGGAAACAAATTGGTAAGTTATAATAAATAACTATTAAATCCATCACAACCTTGTGAGGCTGCATGCTTACGTTAAGTTGTTGTGGCAGGGACCTTTTCTTGAGCATTCTGAGCATCTTACGGAGGACGTAGTTTCTGTATTTCCGGCAGCTGATTCTTTGGAGCAGTACATAATGTCAGTGATGGCTTCTGTTGTGGGTGACGATGGTTTGGACAGTCTATGTAGACAAAAGCTAGTTCCTTATGAGGTTAGATCTTTTCTTCCTCAACTACAAACAATCACAAAAACGCAAATTGCTTGGGTGTCACTTTGACAATTGACATGCTATGTTCATGCCCCCCCATGGGGCTTCTTGTTATGTTTATCCTGATTTGCTGCCTTTTTGTTTATCTCAGATTGAAAGTAAATCGGGCACGGTTGTTTTACGCTGGGTGAATGGGCAACTGGAGAGAGTTGAAACTTGGGTTAAAAGGGCTGCTGAACAAGAGGTTAGCACATTTCTTTTTGTATATGACTGTTTTTTAGTTTGTGTAAGCATCTTATTTGGTATGCTAGAGCATTTTGTTTTACTGCCACTTGTTACAATATATCCTTTTCCCCTGCCACCTGTCTTTGCTTCCTAACATTACTTTGGTACTCATCGAGTGTTCTTGTAAATTTTCCGCACCATTTTCTCTATGCTAAATTTTATGTTTGGCAGACTTGGGATCCTATATCCCCTCAACAACGCCATGGGGGTTCTATTGTTGAAGTCTATAGAATCATAGAAGAGGTGTTGCTTCTGTCCTCCATTACTTCTTTAATTTTTTGTTCATTAATTTCTCCTTACAGGTTAATATCTAATGTTGTTTCTCTTCTATGCCACAATATTTCAAAGTTATGTACATGTCTTAATTGTTTAAAATATATATTTTTGCTTGATAAATGACCTGTATTTGTGAAAGTAATGATCACTTGTGAACTATTGCAGACTGCAGATCAGTTTTTTGCATTCAAGGTTCCTATGCGAATTGGGGAATTAAATAGCTTCTGTCGTGGCATTGACAAGGCATTTCAAATTTATACACAACTTGTTACTCAACCCATAGGTTTGTATCATCACCATTTTCTTTCTCCTTAAGTACGTTTCTGTTTATCTTGCTGGACGTCTATATATTTTTTCTTTCTCCTAAAGTCACATATTATCTTGTTGTAGAGCACAAACCTATAAAATTGTGCTTTAGATAGATGGTCCCTGCTAAATAGTATAGTTGAGATAGTATCTAGTATGGAGAAAAGAAATATCTATCTCATTTGTTTTAACCCGCATGCTTTGGTTTAACCCTCTTTATTTTCTCTAGCTCTTATATAATTGATAATGGTTTTTGTGTGCTTGCAGTTGACAAAGAAGATTTAGTTCCACCTGTTCCTGTCCTTACTCGATATAAAAAGGAGCTTGGAATCAAAGCTTTCGTAAAAAAGGAAATCCAAGAAGTCAGACCTGTTGATGAGAGAAAATCGAGTGAAATAGTTCAACTTACAATGTCAAAGCTATGTGTGCGGCTTAACAGTCTATATGTGAGTTTGTTACTTACAACTGATGCTGCTATGTTACTTTTATTTAGAACGACTTACCAAGTTCCTGGGCAATTTTTGGTACACAAAGATGTAAATGAGAAGGAAAAAACACATAGCAATTTTCATACAAGATTTATTTTGGAATGGTTGACACTCACGCTGGAGCAGTATTTCCTTAAATTTTTTAGACTTCAGATATGGAGTTGATAATTATGCTGCTAACCTGCTACAGCTTACAGTCACATTAAATATATCTTTTTTAACTGGCTGTATCTTTCACGGTTTCTGGTTTGATGCTGTTCCCTTTTGAATGTAGTTAATATTAAGTTGTTTCATTATTAGTAATATTGGTTATCAGTAATTTTACATGGAATCATTGCAGAAATTTTCTATTAATTGTGCTGATGGCTCTGGACTTGACACAATATTCTAGTATCGAGTCAATAGCTGGTACTGGCTGTTGCCATGATTTACATCAACAGGATCCATGTCATTCTTTCATAATTAACCATGATTTACATCAACAAGACTCATGCCATTCTTTTGATAATTGACGTTCTTGCTATTCGCTTGTTCATTTTGATTACTTTGAGAGTTTCTGAACTGGATGTTTTTTTATTAATATCCAAACAGTATGCTATAAGCCAGCTAGGCAAGTTGGAGGACAGCATAAGTGAGCGGTGGGCTAAAAGGCAAAGTGACAAAATTAACATCAGTAAGTGTGCATTTTAAAAAAAGTAATCAGTTTATCCACATAGATTGCCACTTAATCTGTTTGGTCTTGTCCACATAGATCAAACTAGTTCATTTATATATTCAAAATATTTGGACTGTGTTAGGACGATCAATGAACGGCAAGTCAAAGGGTGTAGTCTCCAATCAGAAGAATCAATTTGATGGCAGTAGAAAAGAAATCAATGCTGCTATTGATCGGGTATGTGAATTTACAGGTAAGAAAAATATGTATGCACACTTACTTGGAAGCTGATAGCTTGTCAATGTTGAAGTTTGCATCTTTTCTTTCGTAGGGTTAAAGGTCATATTTTGGGACCTCCAACAGCCATTCATCGACAATATGTACAAAAACAATGTTTTACAAGCTCGATTGGACACTATTGTCGAAGTGCTTGATTTGGTACGTTCATAAGTTCGCATGCGAGGAAATGGACGGTTTTTATGTCGGAATTTCGGTTTTCGCCAAATGCTAAAGCATATGCTGATACCTCATACTTTGGACAAGCATATTTATTAGCATTTCTTTCTAAAGGTTTCCACTTGTAGTCTAGTTGGTAAGCTACTAAGCTTCTGCCGAACTAATTGGCATTTATTTGATGTCAATGCTCACTCTTTAGGTGCTTGCTCAACTCTGTGACGTCATTGTGGAGCAACTGCGAGATCGTGTGGTTACAGGGCTTCTGCAAGCATCCCTGGTGATAATTTTGGCTGTTGAGATCAGTGAGATGCTGTAAAAAGTTTTGATTATAATTTTGTCGTAATCTCTTTTGGTAGGATGGCTTAGTTCGGGTAATACTAGATGGAGGTCCTACACGCGTCTTCTCTCCGAATGATGCCCCTCTTTTGGAGGAAGATCTTGAAATTCTGAAGGTATATTGTTGTCTGAAGACATCTTGGCTGCTTTTGTATCTGGAACATCTTGCCTTGTCTTTATTATCCGACCAATAAATATATTGTTGCCTTAAGGTATATACAAGGGACATCTTGTGTGTGGCTGTATCATTCTATAACGAACATGCTTATCATGTGTCTGGAACATATATTTAATCTTGCCTTGTTTTTATTGTCCGACCGATAAAATGTTGTCTTAACCCGTGCTGACTACTTGTTTGCTTACCTAAAAAAGTTACCCCTTTTTTTGCCGTAGGAATTCTTCATATCCGGCGGAGATGGGCTGCCTCGTGGAACTGTTGAGAATTTGGTCTCGCGTGTTCGTCCTGTAATAAATCTGATCAAGCAAGAGGTAATTTTGGATTAAATTTCTCATGAACCTTTTGGGGGAATTGGTCAATGCTGATAGAACAAGTGCACCGTTGTTTTTCGAGAAGCACCATCTATAATGAGCTTGCCATATCTCCAGTTATACGCACAATGCTTTAAATGCCTACTAGAGTGAACTTAGTAAATTTTTTTTTTGTTCAAACTAGCTACAATTCAATTCTAGAAAATATTCCATAATTGAATCAAAGACTGCTCAGCAGTGTGCCATCGAGTTGTTAAGACTTGGGACTGGGGATGCTGTAGTATAAGAAATTGAGTATCCTTTTGCTGTAAATCATATTTGTAAATGACTAGATGTCATTTCTTATCCCAGACCCGTGTGCTTATTGATGATCTGCGCGAAGTTACTCAAGGGGGCAAAAGCAAATTCGGAAGCGACTCCAAAACCCTGCTGAGGGTCCTGTGCCACAGAAATGATTCAGAGGCATCACACTATGTGAAGAAGCATTTCAAGATACCCAGTTCAGCTCCCCCGAGCACCTGATTTATGGGGAAAATCTGGAAACACCTCAAAGGTACATATAATGGATGGAACGGTGCTCGGCCTTGCAACCTAGGAAGCTTATTTTGTAATAATTGTGCATTATTAGCAGTCGGAGCTAGGGAACCATAGGCTAGTTTTGATTCATGGGCATTGTCTTGATTGATTGCTTCTCCCCAGGAAAGATTTAGATGTCTTACCTTTGTTTCTTTGGGGAGTTTTTAGCTGGATTTTGATGGCGTTTCTGTCTGATGGGAATGTTGGTCTGTTTGCGTGGTTTCAGAAGTGATGCTTACAATTCTGTAGGTGGTTGTTTTATTGTTATGACCAATGTGATTTTTTGCAGTCATTTGTTGTGGTGTGTAATGTTAGTGTGAAGTTTATAAAAATTGGAGAAGGTCCACTTTTGATTTCATGAACTCAACTTGAATCTCCCTCTGATTTGAAGCTCAGCTCTAGGAAATTTGAGTTCATTTTCGTGTAATAACCAAGTTCATCTCGTTTTTCACAAGAATGTAACTTTGACGCAGCGATGGTTACAGAAACCCAAGGATTCGTGAAACAAATATATACTAGTAGTAACGTTGTCATATGTAGTAAATTAGTAACCTCATGAAAAACACAAGAAATAATTTGTGAAAAAACGCACACTAAAGAAAATTTTGCATTATCACATATATATACTGTACATCGTAGTACAAACTGTTTTGCGGTCGAGCAGCCGGTGGCCGTGCAGGTTGTTGGCGTACTAGGCGTAGCCCTTGTGCTTCCCCGTGGCGGCGGCAAGGTTGAAGGAGAGGACAGGGCCGATGAGCTTGCAGGCGTCTCCTCGGCTTTGAAGGAGATGTTGCCGACGTAGACGACGCGGCTGCAGCGGCGGCGGCCATGCTGTCCATGATTTGGCAGCTTGAGTCGATTGAGGCGATCGAGATGTGCTGGATCAAGGCTTTGGCGACTCATCATCGTTCAAGACTCGGATCCCACGTCCTTCTCTTTTCGAATCGCGTCTCATGTGGTAAGTCGGTTCAAGGGCGCCTAGTTTAGGGACGCGTCGTAATAAGTCAGTGTCCTTGAGACACTAATTTTGCAAGCACCCCAATGTCTGATGTCCATGGGAGGGACCCATCAAACAATCCTAAGTACTTCCTCCGTATCGAAATACTTGTAGTTGGGGAAACTTGTACTAATTCTCCCAAATTACAAATATTTCGATATGGAGGTAGTAATAAGGAAAACGCTTGCGTTTGGCCCATGCCGAATGCTTCAGCCGGTCGTCTTCACACACACACGTATTCATTTCTCTCTTCTTCTTTATTTCAGAAAAAAACATCGCAACCTCATTCATGGCGACTGTAGCCTTCGTCCACCCCCTTGCCGAGCGCCTCCAGCCAGATCTGTGCTGTTCCTCCAAGCTGGCGTGCCTCCCCTGTCGGATCTTGTCCGCCGGCTGTCATGGAGTCGCCGGCCACCCCTTCCCGTCAACATGGGGGCGATCCCCTTCCCGTTCCTCACATGTTTCTCCTCTGGCGAGCGGCTGCCGCCTCCCACGCCACCTTCTTAACAAACCTCCGGTCCGCTGCATCCTATGCCACCGGTGTTGGAGACGACAAAAGCTATGACCAAAGACAACGATGTTGCAACCGGCGACGAGAAAAGCTACGATCAGAAACGAAGATGTTGCAACCGGCAACGAGAAAAGCTACTACCAGAGATGATGATGTTGCAACCGGCAACGAGAAAAGCTACGACCAGCGACGAGAAAAGCTACGACCAGAGACGACGATGTTGCAACCGGCGGCGAGAAAAGCCACGACCAGCGACGAGAAAGTTGGGTCAGCCGCTGCGCAACACTAAAAGCTGCAATCGACGATCGATAATGTTACCACCAGCATTGTCGAAAGCTTCAACCAGAGACGACGGGGATCGAGGGCCGGCCACCAAGCAACCTCGGAAGCTGCAACCAATGATGAAGAAAAAACTTCAACCGGCTAAAAAAAGCTTCGACCGGTGATATAAAAGGCTTCAACCGGTGACAGCAAAACGAAAAAAAGCTGCAATCGTTGACACAGAAGTTTCAACCATACATGTGAAAAGCTTTAACTAGTGACCGGCGAGAAAAAAGCTGCAGTGGCGAGCCGTTGATGCACACGACGTTTTCTATGCATCAATCGTGCTGTGGCGGATGCTGGAACCGGCACCCTCGCCACTGCTGCATAGGGAGGGGCGGACCAGTGGCGCCAATGTTGCAACCGGTGAGCGGCGACGGCGAGCGGCCCGGTGTTGCAACCGGCGAGCAGCGACAGCGAGCGGCGGCGGTGAATCCTAGGAGTGCTTCAAGCTCTCCATCGCTCACATTTTGACAGGGGGTGCGGCGGCACTCGTTGCGGCCTTTCGTTTCTCCTATGCGGAAGGCGGACGAAGTGAGGTGGAGCGATCTGACGGCTCCCGTGTGACCGGCCCAAATTTGGGCCGGCACACCACTGCCTATCATCGCA